CCGCCCGCCCCTCAGTTTGGTAGTGCCCCACCTCCCGCCCTCACCTGCAGAGAAACGCGCTCCTTGGCGGACACTGGGGGAGGAGAGGAAGAAGCGCGGCTAACTTATTCCGAGAATGCCAAGGAGTTGTCGTTTTTAGCTTTGTGTTTACTTTTTGGCTGGAGCGGAGATGAGGGGCCACCCCGTGCCCCTGTGCTGCGGGGCCTTTTGCCCAGAGGCCGGGCCCTAAGGTTTTGTTGTGTTCTGTTGAAGGTGCCATTTTAAATTTTATTTTTATTACTTTTTTTGTAGATGAACTTGAGCTCTGTAACTTACACCTGGAATGTTAGGATCGTGCGGCCGCGGCCGGCCGAGCTGCCTGGCGGGGTTGGCCCTTGTCTTTTCAAGTAATTTTCATATTAAACAAAAACAAAGAAAAAAAATCTTATAAAAAGGAAAAAACCAACCCGTCCTGCGCTGTGTCTTTTGTTCCCAGTCCCTCTCCCTGACTCAGGCCCTGGGCTCCCCACCCCCACCGGGCGGCCCTAGGCTGTGGCTCGCCCTGGAGCCCGAGGCCCCTGGAGAGCCACCTCAGCCAGGAGAGCCACCCCAGCCTCTGGGCTCTGTTCCTCTCCTACCTGCCCACAGACCTTCCCCTGCAGGGGCCTGGCGCAGTGCTCTCTGCCCTCCACAGGGGGCAGCAAGCAGTCGCAGGGCCCAGCCCCCTTCCCCAGTGGAGCTGTGCTGAAACCGTGCGTCTGTGTCTGCAGCAGTGGTGGGCCCGGGACTGCCTCCCACCAGGGCAGCCAGCACAGCTGGGCCAGCGAGGCCTTGGAGTGCTGCAGCCGGGGTCCCAGGCTCCTGGCCATATAGAGCCTGGCCCCAGCCGCCCAAGCGTTTGTGCCCAGAGTTGTGGCCCCCAAGCAGATGTGCACTTTCCACAGCAAGAATCTGCTCAGATTTCAGCAAGCACGTTCTCAGAAATCCTGCTTGGCCCATCCTCTGGCACCCGACTTGCAGGTCCAGGGACAGGTACAGGCCGGGCCACCAGAAGGAGGGGTCCGGTGGATAACCTGGCTCCAGACCACCCCTCTGGCCGTGCCACCTCAGCCGGCCAGTCCACCCAGGCCTCTCAGGGAGAGTGGCTCCTCTGTCTCTCCCCAGAGTTGTGCCTTTGCTCCCCCAGCCCACCCAGGCGCCCTGTCATGTGGAAATCTCAGCCACGGAATTAAAATAGACACCACTTCTGCTGTCTCCCAGGAGACAAAGATAAGGGGGCGTCCTGGCCTCCCATGGGAGCCTGTGCTGGGGCCCAGCAGTGACAGGACTGGGTGTTGGGGACTCGGCTGCAGTGCATGCCCCACCACCCTCCCTGGGCTGCTGGCACCCCGCCACTCCGCCCCCACCACCCAACTCTAATCTGCAGCCTGCAAGTGACCCCACAGCCTGAGGACTTGTCTGTAGTGCGTCATTAGAGGGCTGGGAAATCAGGCCACTGACCTCATGAAGGACACAGCCCCCTCTGAGGCTTTTTCCAACCCTGGGGGTCTGGAGGAAGGGAGCAGGTGCTCAGTGAAGACCCCAGCCCCCCTCCCTTCCCCAGGCCTAGGACCTGCCTCCCAGTGCTGCCTGTGAGGTTCTGGCCTCAGCAACTCTTCCATCCCCCAGGGCCTGTCCTTCTCTAGAGTCAACATGTGGGCTGTGAGGTGTTCTAGGTCCTGGGCTCTGTCCCAAGGGCAGGGAGGCCTTGAGGAGAAGTGGGGCCCTTTCCCACCCCAGACACCCTCCCCAGCCAGACACCCAGGCTGCAGCGCCCTCACAGGGCCAAGCTCTGGCCACCTGTGCTGGGTGGGGCCTGGGCTGCTTGGGGGTCTAAACCTGGACTTAGAAATCAGTAGGCACGGGCTGGGGGCAGCATTGGCTTTGGTGCCCAGACCATGAAGGGGACTCCCAGCTTTGCTCTGTCCTCATTAGGCCCTTACCTGCTGATGAGACGACAGCCTGCTCCCTGCACCAGCAACCCCACAGGGGCTGTGGCTCCCCAGGGCCAGGGGCATCTCAGGGTGGCAAGGCCATCATGCTGTCATGCCTGGAGACCTGTCCTGCCAGCTCCACTCCACCCTGCTAGGGTCCTCTGTCCACCACTCAGCCCAGCCTGGCTTCCCTGCAGTGGAGCTGAGTGGCAGGGACCTGCCATCTGCCAGTGTCACAGGATGGCGGAAGGCACCAGACCATTACGGCCCAGGCCGTGACCCAGCCCCACGCCCAGCCATTGGCCCTGCCAGCTCCCTTCACACCCGCTGTGTCCTGTGCCCCCCTCTCCACTCGGGCTCGTCCCGCTCTGTCACTGCCCCTGCCTGTGACCCACTGCCGCCTCAGAGGTGGAGACCAAGGCCACTGCTCTGCACCCATTGATCCTGACCCCTGCCTGCCAGGCCCAGCACAACCCCATCGCATTAGGGAGCTTCTGGCCGCTGCCCAGGGACTGTGACTGGGGTGAGGGCAGTGCAGCAGCTGGCACACTCCCTGTCCCACCCCACCCTCCATGTGTCTCCAGGGCACCTGGCCAGTGCCAAATGCCATTCCTTTGCTGCCACCCTGGGAGGGGCCCGCCTCCACCCCCATCCACTCTCCTGGCAGGGCTAGGGACCTTGGGGCCGGTGGTCTCCCCCCAGAAGAGCCCTGTGACCAGTCAGCCCTGTTCTCCGAGCAAGCCACAGGTCGCAGAGGTGGGGTGAAGTCAGCCCCAGGCTCCCAAGGTGGGCAGAACAGGGCAGGGAGCTGGAGAGGGTCTGGCAGTGGGTCCATGAATCCAGCCTGGGCAAGGCCCTGCTGTGAGGGACCCCTAGGGACCCCTGGGCCTGCCAGGGAGGAAGGACTGCCCAGGAAATGTACTGACTGATGTCTCCTCGCCATCTTCTGCCTTGGCTGGCACAGATCCCAAGTGCAGAGGGGGAGCTGATCAGGCTGGTCAGTCCGGTGTGGGGGCGGGGGGCATGTTTCTGGCCTGCTGTCACCATGGAAATGGCAGTGGCTGCAGGGTGCGTGTGCAAGGGAGGAGGGTGCTGCCACAGGGAGCCCTGCCAGGGCCACCATGAAAGCCAGGAGTGCCTAGGGCCACTGGCTCACAGACATGCCTGGTGCACCAGGCAGAGGAAACAGGCAGGTCTCTGTGTCCAGCCCACAGCCTCCAAGACACTGGGGGAAGGGTGTCCAGAGTTGACTGCCCAGCAAGCACGTTCTGCTGCCCCGCTGGGGCCAGGAGGCTCAGAGAAGGGCCTACAGGGACAGAGCACCAGGAAGCCTGTGGGTGCGGAGATTCCCCCCACTGGGGCCGGGCAGGCTCTAGGGAGCTCTAGGGCAGAGGCATGGTGGTGAGGAGTGGTCAGGCAGGCCCTGGTTGGGAGGAGGCCAGAGTCGGGATGTGGGGGTGGGGTGACTGGTTGACCCCTCCAAGTCAGGCCCTGGGCCCCAAGGCCCGCAGCTGGTCCTGGGCGGTGCGGGAGAAGGGACCGGAGTGTCAGCCCCAGCCCGGGACACAAAGGGCACGCCCATTCCTTCCCCTCCTTCCCTTCCTACCTCCTCACCGCCTCCCCGGCCGCCCCCTCGGTGGGAGTGCTTAGGGTGGACGCCTTTAGCGCGGAGCCCTCGGCGCTGGTGCCCGCCGCCCCTTCCCGGCCTCAGAGGCAGACGTAGACCTCCCCACACCCCCCACCAGCAGCTTCTCGCGCTGTTTTTGGAGGTGGCGGCGCCTTCCTTCCTGAGCCCTGCCCTCCACCCAAGGAGCCTTCAGCACCACAGACAGTGTTGGGGCGGGGCGCGGAGGGGGCGGAGCGGGACACGGAGACCCGGACAGGGCCAGCGGCCGTGCCCACCGGGAATCCGACTCCGCTCCCGCGGCGCGACTGTTGCTATGGAAACCGAGCAACAAAGGGAAGCGGGACGGGCGCCGGGCGCGGCGAGGTGGGGGTGGGGTTCTCCCGGAGTCTGCGACCTCTTCCCGCGGCGTAGCGCAGCCT